CCAATTAAGGGATTAAAAATACCAATCCGCGTTCTCCAGTCATTAATTCACTCTTCCTCTAGATTCCACGAGGGTGCTCTAATTTTAGCTTATTTAGTTTCTCCGTGTACAGAAAGATATGAAAGCTAAAGAGAAAGGAACGCATTACGCACTGAACGACACTCTCATACTACTTAAGTTTGACTACCTGCAGACTCCGAATTTGTCGCAAAAGATATTCTGATTCCGATGAACCAGCCACTGAAATGTCACTGACTTTCATTTTGAGTTATTAGAAATTAGCCAATCAGAAGAGCTTTTTAAATCTGAAGCGCCAAACATGATGTAATCAAACAAATGTAAATTGTGTAGACAGAGCAGCTCCCTTGACTAGTTGATTGCATTTCTAAGTTACTCTCAGTGTTGCCCATGGTCTAACACGTGAGATGAAACTGAACTATATTATACCACATGGTATACATACATCTACGCTACATTGTATGCATATACGATTTTTTTTTTTTGAATTTTTAAGGAAATACTGTCAAGGAAACATTAAAACTCTATTGCTTTAAAATATTTATAATATATTTAAATTTAAAATATTTAATAGCAAATTAATTTAATACTAAAAATATTTAATAGCATTTTTCCCGGTGAATTAGCTTCCGTTTAGAGTTGGAAGTTATACCTTCGGCCTCTAAAATGCAGGCTCATTTCAGGGCACATTTTGGAGAAAAAAAAAAACTGCGTCTTATGGGCTAGGAAATACTATAGCAGCAATAAATGCAAAAAGGATATATATTAATAATAGTTAGATAATACTATTTCAAGAAACACCCAATAGTTTGTGTAATTTGGGGTTGTTTAGAGCAAATATGAATGCTGAAGTTTAAGTCTTGATTGAAGAATTTAATGTGCCATAGATTTTGACAAAGAACTTTGTGTGACAAAATGTAAATAAATTCTTCTGTCATAAAAAGCGAGTTTATAACAGTATATGTTTCTTGCAAGCGATGAAATGAGAAAGACATAATAACAGGAAAAGATAACGGGAAAATTCTCAGTCCAAGATTTATTAAGAACTGAAAAAGACTCTTGTAGATGAATTAACATCTGATTCGAATAATGTCTAGATGTGATGGAGCAATTTTAAATTTTGGAGATGTTCTCAAATTGCCGAATAGTAGAAACAGTTATATCCCTGTTGTAAAGTAGTTGAAAGGGGGTAAAATAAAGAATTTGGTATTCATTGTATACAAAAACAGGGAGAAAATCAAAGAAGATTCTCAAAAAGGTAAATTGCTTGTTAACTCATTAATAAAAATAGCTGGCAGTATTCTTTGGAAATTCTGCAAAGTTTGTCACAGTTAGTTCTCACTATGAATACTAGATGGCGCCACATCGTAAACATTTTCGAATAGTTTGAAAAACGTCTGACGGCGGAATGATTAAAGAAAATGGCTGATTACATTTATTTACATACTTCAGACAGGGTGAATTTAGAGCTTAATTGCGCCAGTATTCTTAGCTTTTGGGATAAATCATAATTATAGGCGGAGCGCACCGGAGCCCTAAATACAAAGGCTCCGCACTTCTTTTATGTAAAGGAACAACAATTTTAGTAGAAATTTGATCTCGAAAATTGTGTTTTTTTACAATAAAATTCTATTAAAAATCCTTTATTAAATTTTAGTTTATCTCTTTACATTTTATTTTAATTATTTAATTACCTTAATCTTTAATTACTTAAATAAATAATAATGAATGGATTTTTTTAATTAACATAATAATTGATAGATGTTATAAGTAATTATGAACTATTTAATTTTTTAATTATTAATGATTTTAATAGTCATTTTATTTATTTATTTACTTTTGTTCTTCTTTGTTGACGGTCTTCCATAGGGCTCCTGCACTTCTAATTTTAGAAATGAAGCCCTGCTTGGAGACTCATGAATGGGGACGCAACAGATATTTCTCACTGCCAGTCTCACCATGGCGTAACTAGAACTCTAGGGCCCCTACGCAAAAATATTTCTTGCCCCCCTCCCCAAAAAAAGTCGATGTTTCCAGGAGCCAACATTTTGAAAATGCTTTTTATCAAATCAGTATTAATAGTTAAAAATCTGATATTGACACACATGATTTCCTTGTACCGCCTATTAAATTATACTTTAGTGGCCCAGTTATTACATAGGAAATAATTAATTTTTATTTCATATATTTGTTCATGTGTTTAATTATTTTATAAAATTAACTTTAATATTTTGTTAATATTCATATTTATATTCTTTTATGCTGAATGGTAACAAGTAGTTCATATTTATATTTAAATTTCTTTATACTGAATGGCAACTAGTTCTGATTCATGATTGCTTGGTTTTGGTTTCCAAACGTTGCTAGTAGCGTCGCATTTCGATAGCTGGAAAATAAAAAGCAATAAACTTAGCTATTTGTTTGTAATTCATGCTGTTCCTAATCATAATTTAGTTTTGAACATTAGTAGCCAAGGCCACAATACACAATTTTTGCTCCACTTCATTTAAGCTTATTTCCTATATGATTTTAACTTAATTAAGCGATCCCTCAAGGCAAACTGAAAATGACATCAAAAATTGCAAATTTTGAATTAAATATCCCGGTCAGTTTTTGCCATACGGGAGTCAAACTTCTAATTTACTTTTTCATAACGACCATAAAACTTCCTAAGTATAGGAAACGGGAGACTGCATGAAAAGTTAGATTTCGCTATTTGACGAAAATTATTATTATTATTTTTTTAACTTGGCATAGCCAAAATATTTTTCATCATTTAAAACACTTCTGTAATGGGAAGATATGACTACGACTAATGATTGCGAAAATAAGGGACAAAAATAAGGGTAAGGGAGTGGATATACATATATGTGGTAGGGGAGTTGAAGATGAATATTCTAGGGTCAATAACAAGTCTAACGTTTTCCACACCGCAGACATTTAATGAAAATAACAGAGAAGTTTACATGTAGAATTGAATGACGGTGCTGTTGCATACAAAATTCCACATCCTCACTTTTACATATTTTGAATTACAGCTTGGCGCCTACTTGCGCTCGCTGTCAATTATGCAGTCAAGTTACCACCTCCTCGTAGAAACATACAGTTCTATATTTACCTTCACGTGTAGACCTACGTCTTACAACCTTCTCGTGGAGACATCTTACCACCTTCGCGTGGGATAGACGACTGTCCGTTTATTTGTCATACTCCTCTTTCATCTCGCTCTCGCTGCTGGCGCATAGGTGAGGCCCTCTGGTGGGTGTGTTAATTAACGGATACAACACGGTCACACACACACACACACACACACACACACACACATATATATATATATGGTATCCATTTTATATATATATATCTCCACTCCCTTACCCGTTATCTTTATTTAATCTTTCTAAAACTAATTGATATTGATTTCAATATTTGATTATTACAGTTATTTGCTTCCCAATTTTCTTCTCAATACAGTTTGCGATATGGCACTGCCAATTGCAATAAAAAAGACAAGTGCACAAGTGGATATTATAGCTGTGCCATGTACAAAATTTTAACGCTCTGTGACTAACCGTTTTTGAGTTATGCGATGCATGTATGTACGTACATACGTATGTATGTGCGAACATACCGATGTCAAGAAAAAATCCTATTTGAATCCATTTTAAACCCACTTTACAATCCTTTTTGGAACAAAGAGTCCTTTATTCTGTCTGTACTTACAGACGTCACGGGAAAAAGAAATCCAAATAGATTCGGTTTGGTTTGGTTTATGATATTACGACAAAGCCTCGAGGGCTATCTGCCTACGGGATAGGATGAATTCGTGGAGGTCTTTCTGAGGGAAACTGGCTAGTATACTCGTTACACAGCCACCACGGAGTACCACATACTCAGCCACCTCGGATTAAACAAGGGGACGCAGATTTCTGGTTAGGGTTAAAAGGGACCATATATAGTTCCTTTGTAATCAAAAGCTTCTGATCACTCATTCCTAAGCCACTTACACTAAGGACAGTGGCCAGCTGATTAACACTAACGGAGACAACTGAGAGCCTCCCGTTTCTTTCTGAAGCAGAGACAAAAGCAGTGTGTTGATAACAGTACCTAGCCACCTAGCCCAGGGATAAGCGAACTACGGCCCGCGGGCCCACCGTCCCACCGGATGGTTCTATCCGGCCCGCGGATAGAATTTTAATTTGCCGGACCGAAGCAAATTAAAAGAAATATATATTTATATATTATATATCCATCTCCTTTTCTACTTTGTTTAAATAATATTTTTTCTTCCATTTTTTTCAAAGGACAGATGATCTTTTTACTTTCTCTATTTTTGTTCTACAAAACATAAATCGACGTATATAGCAAGCACAGACAGCTTTCAATCGCTAATGTATTAAAAGAAGTTCTTTGTTAGTTATAGCTGTAGATTGGTGCTAACCAGAGTTATCTTTTTCTCGGGGAGCAGACATACAGGATGTGATTCAAAAGTTTCAAGACTTACCTCAGAACTAGAAATTTATTGGACATTTAAGTACAGCGGACTAAAATTCTTCAAAATATGATCCTTCAGTATCAACACAACGCTGCCAGCGTGTCTTCTACTGTTCGTAGCCCTTCTGGAAGGCCTCGGGCGTCATGCTGTCAAGGGCTCTCGTCGAAGCCTGCTGGATGGCGTCGATGGAGTCGAATCGCTTCCCTTTTAGGCCTGTCTTGATTCGGGGGAAGAGGAAAAAGTTACTTGAAGCCAAGTCAGGGCTGTAGGGGGGCTGCGGCTGTGTTGTCACGTTGAACTTGACCACAACTTCGGTGGTGGCGCGTGACATGTGAGCTCGCGCTTTGCCGTGGTGGAGAATCTAATCAACCTTGATCGCCGGGCGGTCGCGGCGGACTCGCTCCCTCAAGCGGAGGAGCACTCCAACGTAAAAGACACCTGTGACAGTCTGTCCACGAGCAACTGTCTTGTGTCCTTGTGAATCACTCCATTAGCATAAAAAAACAATCAGCATGCACTTTACACGCGACTTGCTCATGCGAGCTTTCTTGGGCTTCGGCAAGGAAGAAGTGTGCCATTCTGAGCTTTGAAGCTTCGACTCAGTATCGTACTCGTAGAACCAGGTCTCATCACCAGTAAACACTTTCTCCAAAAAGTTCGGATCAACATTCAACCGTTGGATCATTTCCTGGCAAACAGTCATACGCCTTTTCTTCTGATCCACCGACAAAACTTTTGGCACCAGTTTAACACACACTTTTCGCATCATCAAATTCTCCGTCGCAATACTCCCCAACGTAGTCTGACTGAGTCCCAGTTCATCGGCAATTAATTTAGTACTAAGACGACGGTCATTGTTTGTATGTGAATTCAATATAGGTGAATTAGACCTCACATGTGGCAGACTGCGCATTTTTTTAAGCTCCAGCCAGCGGCTTTTTCTTTTAGAGCGAGTTTTAATATTATTGATTGCGTATGGAAAGATTGCGGACATATAGCATCATTGTGAATATTGGTGAAATTATTAAAAGTATAGCGTAGCTAGTGCTTGTTTTGGATTATTCGTAAAATATTTCAACCACAAAATGGCTCCTGAAAAACGTAAAGTTGGTTCAGAAGGCCATGTTTTTAATGATGAATGGACCTGGAAATATTTTTTACAGTTGTAAAGATACACCAGTGTGTCTCATCTGCAATTAAGCTGTAGCAGTCTTCAAAGAATGTAACATTTCCCGTCATTTCACACATAAACATAAGAATTCCAATTACGAAGCAGTGTCCGAATATGAAAGGAAACAAAATGCAGAAAGTCTTTGTAAAAAATTATCAGGCCGACAAAATTTTTTCAAAAAAGTAAACAGTATCCAAGAAGCAGCTACACAGGCAAGTTACATTGTAGCATACAATATTACTAAAAATAATAAAGCTCTCAGTGATGGGGAGTTCGTTAAACAATGCATGCTCCAAGTTTGTGATATTTTAATGTCCAGACAAGAAAATAATTTTGAGACTGTAAGCTTATCTCGAAAAACGGTGACTTCTAGAATCGAAGCCATCGATGAAAATTTGACATCACAATTCATAGTCAAAGATTGACAAGTTTAAATTTTGCTCCATAGCTATGGATGAAAGCACTGATATAAATAATACTGCTCAACTAGTATTATTTATAAGAGGTGTTGATGAAAACTTTGAAATTACTGTAGAACTGGCGAGCATGCGTTCTTTAAAGGGAACTACAACGGGATGTGATAATTTTTGTGAATTTCAGGAAGGGTTAAACTTTGAAACCTTTTTAACTTTAAAAGGGCCTATAACAAATATATGTAATATTACGACCTATGGAGCACCAAATATGACAGGAAAAAATCTGGGTTTCTTGGACTCTTTAATCAAAACTATCCAGGGAACAATATTGTTTTTCTTCATTGTGCTATACATCAAGGTGCTCTGTGTAAATCTGCATTGAAATCAAATATGAAACCCGTGCTTGATGCAGTCGTGAAGCTTATAAATACTGTTCGATCTCGTGCGCTTACTTACAGGCAATTTCGAGATTTTCTTCAGTCCCTGCAATCTGAATACTCTGATGTACTGATGTACAGTCTTACATGAAAGTAAGGTGGCTTAGTGTAAGGATGTGTTTTCGAGCGAGTTTGGCAGTTGAAAGACGATATTCTGTCGTTCTTCCATGTAAAATAGTGTTCTGCGGAGTGCGAAATGTTAGAAGATACAAGAATGTCTTTCGGACTTTGCATTTTTCGCAGATCCTCTTTGTCACATGAGCAACTTGAATGTCAAGATGCAAGGGAAAAATCAATTTATCGACAATATCTGGGCGCATTTCAAAGCTTTTAAACTAAAACTTAATCTGTTTTCTGGGCAGTTAGCTAAGAACGACTGGTCTCATTTCCCGATGTTAAGTTCAATACCCCCAGTAAATGAAGAGAAGCTTAAGAATTATGAAGATGGCTTGAAAAACTGCATTTTGAGTTCGAATGCAGATTTCAAGATTTCAGTACCATTCAAACAGAACCGGATATTTTTACCATACCTTTCAATGTAAATTGTGAAGCAGTGAGATCAGATTTGCAGCTTGAATTACTTGAGTTGCAATCTAACAATAATCTCAAGCAGTTTTTCTAAATATTCCAAAGTTAGAGTTTTACAAATTATTATAGAAAGTAAGTTCCCCAAATTTAATATCTCATGCCTAGAAAATCAGTGCAATGTTTGCTTCATCTTGTGTATGTGAGCAAGTGTTTTCAACTATGAACCTTAGAAAGAATTATTTCAGAAGTAGACTGACAGATGAGCATTTAGCCTCGTTCCTTAGAATCAGTACATCTCACTTCGAACCTCAATATAAGGAACTTTTAAAAATGAAATCACAGTTTCATTCATCTCATTAACATATTTAAATTGTAATATTTGTATATTGTTTTTAAAATTAAAAAAAAATATCTTGACCCGCCAAACTTTATTTTCGATTTTGGCCCGCGACCGAAAAAGTTTGCCCATCTCTGATCTGGCCCCTCAACTAGCAGGAACCTTCTTTCCAGCTCTGCAGGTCTCCAAGCCTGGCAAACGCTCAGGTCATTTTATCTCCTTGAGAAGCTACTAACAAATGATGTATCAGCATCTTACTTTGAGCCGCAACCATCGGAAAGGGAGAAAGAAAGGAAAAAGCAGATGACAAGAAAAGAGGGAATGGTATAGAAAACATATCACTTGGCCTCTCGGGGTTCTGATACCAACTATTTAAACCATGATGTATCAAACAAATGAAACAATTTAACGTTAAAAGTTGTATAAAAATTAACAAGGTATTTTCTACATTATGTCTAGTTTTTGCATCGAGTTTCTTCATATGTTTACTGTTGAAATATTATCCTCAAGAGTTCATGATATGAGGGTTTTTTAGTTGAATCTTGATCACATTGAAGTAAAGTATTGTTCCTTGTAGTTAGCCTGGAAATCCAAACATTCCTTAAACTGTTCAAAATTTGTTTAAGTTGACAATATTCATGGGTTATGAGATTTGCGTACAAAACGAAGACATACTACGATCGCGTAACTGATACTAGAGTGTACATGAATAACTAGAATGGCACTTCAAACACTTGGAAACGACGCTTGAAACACCGGATTATAAGTTTATAAATCGGCCTGTGATTGTCGTCCCATGAAAGCAAAAATCACTAGATGACACAAGCTAGAGTACGGAATGAAAAGAATGCCGGGTGGAAGCTAAAGATGTCGATTTACAGAACTCACATATTTTGGGAGAGGTTTTCATCAGGCTAAAAATCACAAGATGATCGAAGAACCATATTTTTATGATGATGCTGTCCGACAGTATTTGGTGGAGTGAATACATAACGGAAATCATACACGGCTGATCCGCTTCAGAGGGCTTATGAAGATCATAGTAGTGAAGAGAATAAAAGGATCATGAACCAGGTATGTACGAATCCTGCGGTGAACGATAAATTATAAAGTCACATGTAGCGGTTCCTGTGTGCCTAAGACCATTTCTAGTCGTCTTTCTGAAGCAAATATACATTTTCTGAATCTTTCCAGTGATCTATCTGTAACATTGGAACATAGGCCACTCCATTTGCAGTGTTGTTAGCTCAAATATGGAATGCAACAAATTGATGATACGCAGTGTTTAGTGACGAGTTCAAGTTCGTTTCGGGAATAGATGATAGGTTTGTCCGGATCTAGCTGTCTCATAATCAGCGGTAAAGTCCCGACCTAGCTATCGAAAGATACATTGCTATATCTGCAGCAAATATGGTTTGGAGAATCATAGCTTATGATAATCCATCCTTTTCTATAAGAGTTTCTGATGTCCTACGACCTCATGTATTCCCATATCTAACAAGGATTACATTTGTAATGCCCAGTCTCACATGGCTCAAACTGATCAAGGTCACATGTGTCACTTCCAGACACAGCAATGGCCTACTCGCTCCCCGTCCTTGTTGAGAGAGTGTAGAACCAGGTGAAATGTCAGATGTCGCAATGTTGCTGTATCTGGAATTTAGAGAAGTTCAACAACTGTTGGCTTACTTGCCGCAGTTGTTACATGTTGGCTTACATGAGGCTGTTACAACTGTTGGCTTACATGAATCTGCACATTATATTCCATCCTGAAAAGAGTTGGAATACGAGGTCTTATTGACTGGACTACATACTAACATTCTTTTTGTCCTCCTGCTCAGTGGCGTAGCAAGGGGGGGCAAGGGGTTCATGATGCCCCGGGCGCCGCTCGTACAGGGGCGCCAAATGGTCTCCAAACAAGATTTTCTGGAAAATATATTTAAAATTAATAACTATTGTAATATAATTAATCATTTATTTCCTTGATTTGTCTGATAAAATGTGTAATAAATGTTTGCAGTACATTAGCCAAAACGTTCTTCCTGACCACTTTATTTCTCCAAAGTAGAGATATTTTTTTTTTAAACGAAATGCGCGTATATGTTCCGCTTTTTATTTTAAAACGTTTTCTCAAACATATCCACTTTCCAAAATCCGATTCCATAATCTGGGAATGACATTTTTTGGGAAAATCTTAACGCTTCCGCTACAATGGATTGCGTTTGACTCTCCTGTAAACGACTGATGACCTTCAAAATCGTAAAAACAACCTTGTATTTAGCGTAGGTATAATGAAACACTCAATCGATTTCGAGGGCAGCTAAAGGTTCCTCCTCATCGGGAGAAAGAAATACCTAGAAAGAAGAAAATAAAGGAGTCAACAGAAACACATGGTCCTTATCAGCACTGCACGTGGTTATAACTAGATTTTTAATCAGAGTTGCACTGGCCGCCTACTTTTACTGAGCCAGGCTATCTGATCAAGCATAAAGGACAAGAAAAATTAGCGAAGTTAAAATAGGGAGCGAGGGGCAAATGCACTTTACGCTCAAAATCTGAACTTCAAATAATGGAAAGCAACCACTGAACGGATTTTTATACCCTCTGGTAGTACCAATCGCGACGGCCTTCCTGGCTACCGATTCAACTAAGTCATCTTGCTGAGACATCGTATATTCACTGCTACGAAGCATTCAACGCATGTCAATTGTTTTTAATCTCCTATTACAAAAGGAATACTGCAGGTCGCTCCTTACTCCTTATCTAAAACTCATAGATTTCGACGTCACAGACTAAATTCGCATATTCCCAACTTGTAAACGTTATAATTTTCCTTTATAAGCTCTTCTATTTCCATTTATTCAAAAAGGTTGTCGATTATATGGTTATTTCATACCGAACCCACAATATCCCCTAATTGTGCCCACCAGCGGCCGAGCGGTAAAGACGCAGAACACTGGTAGTTCGGTCTGAGGTTCGAATCCAGCGGGCTGGCTGCATGGGCGTTTTCGTGGTTTTCCCTAT